AGGAGCATCGTCCCTTGTACCTCATACAGGCCATAGTATCCCAGGTCCTCTGTAGTGCCCAAGACAAATTAGATGCTTGAAAATATTTGTTCTTCTTGCTGAACAAATGAAAATAAGGTCTGTGGCTTCCCATGAAGTCAGAACTAGGCTGAACCCCGTGCCCCCCAAATTACTTAATTTTAGTAGTATCTCAAGACCCAACATTTTGCTTTAAACTTTTTTAAAAAAAATTTTTTTATTTATTTTTGAGAGAGAAAGAGAGACAGAGCACAAGTGGGGGAGAGGCAGAGAGAGAGGGAGACACAGAATCGGAAGCAGGCTCCAGGCTGCGAGCTGTCAGCACAGAGCCTGACGCAGGGCTCTAACCGGTGAACCGCGAGATCGTGACTTGAGCCGGAGTCGGACACTAAACCGACTGAGCCACCCAGGCACAACCCCCCACACAACAACAGGCTTTTAAGCTAGAATTGTAGAGTATATAGTGTTGATCTATTACTGTTGTAATAATTCTCACAGTATAAATAATTACATTATTGTTTCTTTAATTATAGCATTTTTTTAAACATTTCATTCTTCAGTGGGGTCCATGAATAAAATGACAATATTTAAAGATATTTTTAGATGTCTGAGATATCTACACATTCTAAGCTGTTTTTTAGTTAAAAGATTATTTCGACTTTTTACCTTAAATATCACAGATAGCGGTACCTATAAGTGTGTGTGACAGACTTAAATGCTATGATCAGTGTATTCTTCTGCAAGCAATGTGGTATTCATTTAATAATGTGAACTTTCAGAATAAGATTGAGTTGCCCAGGAAGTTCTGCTACAATTTTGTTGCTAAAAATGTAACAACTAATCATCTCGACATTGTGTGTGCAGTCAGAACACAGGGCTCCCGTACCCAGGTACAGAGCTCCAAGAGCTTGGAACACCACTTGTATCATTGATACTATGAATTGTTTTCCACTTTCAAGTATTGGGTGAGTTTGCAGAACTGATGGGCAATTCACACCTTATGCCGGTGGTTCTCAGCCCCTAGCAAAACAATAGAATTACCTAGGAAGCTTAACTAAGAATGATGATAATAATACATATGTCTATGCAGTCATCTCTTCCCTAACAGAGTACTGGATATCCTAATTTTGTCCCTTGGGAGGTCTGTTTGGCATCTGTTTGGTATCATTTTACATTGGGAAGTCTCTTTGGTATCTGGTACCATTTTGTATTGAGGTTCTTCCCCCCCCCCCCCACTTCTAGAAACCCTATTTCTGCTGTGTAGTTTATGAAGCCACCTGAAAATGATAAGTCTGAATAGCTCTGATTAGTCCTTGGTATTTAATCAGAATGGAGAAGAGTGGAACCCTCCATTTGGGTATATTGAGTCAATGATGGTCCAGAGGGAAGGAAGTTATGTTCAGTAAAGATATTGACAAATGCCCAGGACCTTTGGTTTCTTTTGTAGAGTATGTATTGTAGTTGCCACCAAATTAAAAAGGTTTCATATCTAAGAACAAACATCAGTTCTTGAACAGTTTTGCCTCAATCATTATACACAAACCCAGGTATCTTCTGTTCAACTGGAAAAGCAAACAATAATTGAAACACTCATGTTGATGACATTTTAACACCATGTAATTAATCACTTTCTCTTTTTTGAGCTGCCAGTTTTGTTTTCACTGTAGACCTAGATCAGGGAAGGGCAATATCAAAAGAGTCATCAAACATTTAATCACATCAAGATATGAACATATGTCAGAGTTTTCTAAAGATAAGAAATTATTAAAACCAGAAAAGCAAAGTTTAAACTAAGCATACTGGTAAGTAAATATAGCTTTTTAGAAATGAGGAACTTTTGTTTAAAATGATTCAAGATGGGGCTCCTGCTGGCTCAGTTGGTTAAGTATCCCACTCTTAATTTTAGCTCAGGTCCTGAGCTTACGGTCCATGGGTTCAAGCCCCGCGTCAGGCTCTGCTCTGACAGTGTGGAGCCTGCTTGGGATTCTCTCTCTCCCTCTCTCTCTACTCCTCCCCCACTTGTGCTCTCTCTGTCTCAAAATAAATAAATAAACGTAAAATAATAATAATAATAGAAATAAAATAAAATAATTCAAGAAATCAGTGCTACAAACAGAACAGCCTCCTGAAACTCTGCTCTTCAGTAGATAAGAGTTAACTGTGGGGTTGTGTCTTCCACTGGAGACAAAGGACTCTTTTGTTGTTTCCTGTTTTCTTTAGAGCACACTGTATATTCAAAGATCAAAGTAATATTTATCTGAACTGTTTGTTCTCTTTATCATTCATAAGCTTTTTCAGTCAAACACATTTTAATGTGCGTGTTTATTTATTTAAATACACACAAATGTACATATGTGTAGTTAGATAACAATTTAAAGTCTTAATTTCAGCCTTTTAAAACAAATTAACAGTAGCAAATGTAGGGCAACAGGCAGTATATATCCCACCTACATTTACCGTCTTAATTGGAACTTCACCGAAAGCAAGTATGTATTAATAGAGTGATCGATCATTTTTGTAATCTGTATGCATTTTAATCACCAAAGATTTCAGATGACAATGTTATTTATCAACTTAATATTAGTCCCAGGGGTTAAAATCAAAAGATCTCAAGAATTATATCTAAAGTGTAACATAATCCTCAACTGTAAAAACAAAGAGGTGATGTTTAAAAGTCATATGCAGAGGGGCACCTGGGTGGCTCATTCAGTTAAGTGCCCAGCTCTTGGTCTCCACTCAAGTCATGATCTCACAGTGCATGAGATCGAGCCCCACATCAGGCTCCACGCTCACAGTATGGAGCCTGCTTGTGATCTTCTCCCTCCCTCTCTTTCTCTGCCCCTCCCCCACTTGCTCTCCATCTCTCAAAATTAATAAATTTTAAAAAATAGTTTAAAAAATCACATGCAGATAGCAGAAGTGAAATAACCATGTTAAAACCATTTGCATTATTTTTTGGAGTTTACAAAAACCCATTGTTTTTATAAAACAGGAGTTATTTCTTAATTTAGTTAAATGCACATGTTTGTATTTTCATGCCTGAAAATATCGTATGTAAAGAATAATTTATCTGACCCACAAAACCAACAGAGGATATTCATAAGGTTTAAAATAATGAGGTTAGGGGCACCTAACTGGCTCAGTTGGTTAAATGCCAACTCTGGATTTCTGCTCAGGTTGTGATCTGATCTCACGGTTTGTGAGTTCCAGCCCCACATCAGGCTTTGTGCTGTCAGCGAGGAGCCTCCTTGGGATTCTCTCTCTCTCTCTCTCTCTTTCTCTTTCTCTCTCTCTCTCTCTCTCTCTCTGCCCCTTCCCTCTTTGTGCTCACTCTCTTGCTCTCAAAAATGAATAAACTTTAAAAACGTAAAATAATGAGGTCAGAGAGAAGATACACAGCCCTTTTTTAACTCAGAATTGCCAAACTGATATAATTTGCCCAAGAATTCAGGTAAAACAGCAGTATTTCTCCTGCAACTTTTAATACAATTTATATACCTCTGCACTTACCAACAACATTTTTGAACTTGTTTAACTTACATCTAATAGTATTGATTTTTAAAAGAACTTTTTCTGCATTTTGGGCGGTCCAGGTATGCAGACGCTTCATCATTGTGACAGATTTCCTCTTGGCCACTTTCCTAAGAGAGGGAGTTATGTTGAAACACCAGCACCCTTAAAACCTTAGGAGTTTATTTTGTTAGGCAACCTATTTTGTTGTTGTTGTTGTTGTTGTCGTGCTCGGATGGAGGTTCTATTTATTTTTTAAGCTTTATTTATTATTTATTACTGAAGTGTAGTTGACGTACAATGTTATATTAGCTTCAGGTGTACAACGTACTGATTGTACAATTCTCTCCATTACTCAGTGCTCCTCATGATGAATGTAGGTACCCCTGCCACCACATAAGGTTATTACAATCTTTTTGATTCTACTCCCAATGCTGTACTTTTCGTCTCTGTGACTTATTTAGTTTACAACCGGAAGTTTGTGCCTCTTAATCCCCTTCACCTGTTTCACCCATCCCTCCGCCCACCTCCCCTCTGGCAGCCACCAGTTTGTTCTCTGTATTTCAGAGTCAGTTTGTTGTTTCATTTGCTTGTTTGTTCACTTGTTTACTTTTTATTTTTTAATGTTTATTTTTGAGAGAGACAGAGAAAGAACACAAGCAGGAGGGACGGAGAGAGAGGGAGACGCAGAATCCGAAGCAGGCTCCAGGCTCCGAGCTGTCAGCACAGAGCCCAACACGGGGCTCGAACCCACAAACCGTGAGATCATGACCTGAGCCAAAGTCGGACGCTTCACCCACTGAGCCACCCAGGCGCCCCTGTTTTGTTGTTTAGATTGCACATTTAAGTGAAATCATACAGTATTGTCTTTCTCTGACCTATTTCACTTGGCATAACACCATCTGGGTTCATCATGTTGTTGCAAATGGCAAGCTTCCATTCTTTTTATGGCTAAGTACTATTCCACTGTGTGTGTGTGTGTGTGTGTGTGTGTGTGTGTGTGTGTGTGTGTACCACCTCTTTATTCATTCATCTATTGAAAGACATTTGATTGCTTCCATATTTCGGCTATTGTAAATAATGTTGCAACAAGCATAAGGTTGCATACACCTTTTTGAATTAATGTTTTTGTGTTCTTCGAGTAAATAGCCAGTAGTGGAATTACCGGATCCTAGGATATTTCCACTTTTAGTTTTTTTTTAAGTTCATCTATTTATTTTTGAGTGAGAACCAGCGTGCACACATGCACACAAGCAGGGGAGGGGCAGAGAGGGAGGATCCCAAGCAGACTCAAACCCACAAACCATGAGATCATGACCTGAGCCAAAATCAAGAGTCAGGCACTTAATTGACCGAGCCCCCCCGGCGCCCCCTCTGTTTTTAATTTTTTAACAAACCTCCTTACTGTTTTCCACAGTGGCTGCACTGGTTCACATTCCTATTTTTAATTGATGCTTCTTAACTCTCTCTAGGCCAAATGAGTCCAAGGAACGTCCTGTACTTCCCACTTGGAGAGAAGGGGGACCAGAAGCACCCCCTGGGGCACGAGCCAGGTCAGCTGCTGTCACTGGAGAGACATGGCTGGGCAGCTGGCGTCACAGGTCTGGCAGAACAGCAGCCACTAACCCCCAGTTTGTATCCATGGCAGTGCTCCTTCGCTCTGTGTAATGTCTGCCCGTAACCCATCCACCATCACTGGCTCCGTTTACCTCCTCTCATATCCGCATCTCTCCCCTGTCGGATGAAAGGCTCACTCCCTTGGATAGCTGTTAAAATGGCTTCCTTGTTAAGGGAATGTGTCTTTGTTTAGCCCTTATTATCAAAGGATTTTTTTCCTTGATGTTCTAAAGTTTCAGGAACACAGTGCGCCACTTCTGTGACATAACGTGTTCTTGTCCCACTGGTGCACTGCCATCTGAGGTACGTCACCCATGACCTATTACATAGCTCCAGATGGTTGCTTTAAGATACGAATCGGGCCATATCCCACCCATCGCTTGGAAATGTTGTGATCTTAGTTGTATTGCTCTACCCTTTTGCCAACAACTTGTCAGTTTATTTTGTTTGTTTTTAGTTTTTGAGAGAGGAGAGATAGCGAGCGCGAGCTCAGGGAGGGGCCAAGGAAGAGAAAGAGAATCTTAAGCAGAGTCCATACTCAGCACAGAGCCCGACACGGGGCTCCATCCCATGACACTTAGATCGTGAACTGAGCTAAAACCAAGAGTCGGACACTCAACTGAGTGAGCCCCCCAGGTACCCCAACTTCTCAGATTATAGTCTGTCAATTTGCAGACCAAATTTTTTTTATTTATTTATTTTCTTTATGAAATTTATTGGCAAATTCGTTTCCATACAACACCCAGGGCTCATCCCAACAGGTGCCCTCCTCAATGCCCATCGCCCACCCCCCATCAACCCTCAGTTTATTCTCAGTTTTTAAGAGTCTCTTATGGTTTGGCTCCCTCCCTCTCTAACTTTTTTTTTTTTCCTTCCCCTCCCCCATGGTCTTCTGTTAAGTTTCTCAGGATCCACATAAGAGTGAAAACATATGGTATCTGTTTTTCTCTGTATGGCTTATTTCACTTAGCACAACACTCTCCAGTTCCATCCACGTTGCTGCAAAAGGCCATATTTCATTCTTTCTCATTGGCACGTAGTACTCCATTGTGTATATAAACCACAATTTCTTTATCCGTTCATCAGTTGATAGACATTTCGGCTCTTTCCATAATTTGGCTACTGTTGAAAGCGCTGCTATAAACATTGGGGTACAAGTGCCCCTGTGCATCAGCACTCCTGTGTCCCTTGGGTAAATACCTAGCAGTGCTATTGCTGGGTCATAGGGTAGATCTATTTTTAATTTTTTGAGGAACCTCCACACTGTTTTCCAGAGTGGCTTGCAGACGAAATTTTGGTATTGTTTAGGACTCCGTGTAAAATACGTTGTAATTATGTTTTCAGCTGTAGCTTGGAATGGAGCCAACTTGTTATCTCCCCAATCTTTGGTTGACCGTGGTCTTGTAGCGGCAGGTATCCGGCAGGCAACCCGGGTATCAGCACGGCACCAAGACAGGGATGCCCCAGGGCCCAGGGGCATCCCCTCCAGCTCCCCGCCTCCCCCATCCAAGTTTGTCACCGCCAGCAAGCCCCCTCCTGGGGAAGTTGTGTCTTCCCACAGGAATGGCGTGCCGCAGGTTCTGGGTCAGCCTGCTCTGTGCTGTACCTCTTTGTTTTATAGGGGACTTGGGTCCCCCCAAGTCTGGTTAGTTAGTATTTTCCAGGTTGTTGTAACACTCAACACACTGTCAGAGCACACACACGTGTGTGTGTATGTGCATGCATGAAATTGGTGTCTATTTAAAAATTTTTTTTTTTTCAACGTTTATTTATTTTGGGACAGAGAGAGACAGAGCATGAACGGGGGAGGGGCAGAGAGAGAGGGAGACACAGAATCGGAAACAGGCTCCAGGCTCCGAGCCATCAGCCCAGAGCCTGACGCGGGGCTCGAACTCATGGACCGCGAGATCGTGACCTGGCCGAAGTCGGACGCTCAACCGACTGCGCCACCCAGGCGCCCCGTTTTGGTGTCTATTTAGATCCAGACTGGAACACACTTTTAGCCCCAAAGCCTGCTTGCCGACATGAAGCAGGGGTAAGAAAACACGGTTATCAAAAATAGCAACTTCAAAAGGATGGGACAGTGGGAGAGAGTGAAGGGTTCGCATAGCTCGCTCACAGGCCATTTTGCTGCTGTGAGGGTGCTCATTCTAGGTTCCTGGGTCTTTCCACAACCTCACAGAGGGGTTGCCGGAGGCGACAACACGTATCCCCAACACCTTAATGCACCATTGGCTTTGCGTGGTCGTCTTGTCTTGGGATGCTCATTCTAGGCTCCTGGGTCTTTCCACAACCTCACAGAGGGGTTGCCGGAGGCGAGAACACGTATCCCCAACACCTTTATGCACCATTGGCTTTGCATGGTCGTCTTGTCTTGTCAGAAAGAGAGCCATTATTTTTATGTTTCCTGTACAACATCTGGTCCTAAAACCCTCTTCGGATGATGTCCAGAAGTTCTTTTGCTCTTTGGCTGTTCAGATCTTTTTTCCCCCTCAGCCACTTTCCATACTTTTTCTTCCAGGTCTGTAATAAGTGACAGGGTTTTGGTTTTTGTTCATTTGTTTGTTTTTATGATCAGTCAGTCCCCAAAGTTTCCCAAGAAAGAGGGGGAAAAAAGGAATTAGAAGGAGCCACCACAACCCTATTAGGATGATTAAAGTAAAAACCCCAACGACGCCAAGTGCTGACAAGGATGTGAGACAGCAGGAACCCCATGCATCCTGGGGGTGCAGGACAGAGCACAGCCCCCAGGAGGGGGGCTCAATAGTGTCCCCAGAGTTCAACAGACACTTAGTGGATGCCTGGGAGTCCCACTGCTGGGATTTGAGCCTCGAGAAATAAAACATTCTGTTCACACAGAAACTTGTAGAAGCTTTAGCCGTAATTGTCAAACACTGGACACCACCCAGTGTCCTTTGGCACAAGAGAGGATGAGCGACCATTCCACGGGGTTATGCCCGGCAGCGAGAAGGGACTCGCAACTGACACGTTTGGCACCCAGGGTCCACGTCGGGGGCCTGGCGCCCAGAGAAAGAAGCCTGGCTGCGGGCGTCAAGGGTGACGTGATTCCCTTTGTCAGACAGTCTTGGAAAGACAAAACCACAGTGACCAAGTGGCTCAGAGCAGGATCTGTTTTTTCTCTCGCTCTGTTAACTCATTATGTTTCCCTAAGATTTGATCAAACTCTTCACTTCTTTAGTCTCACCTGGTAGAAGTTCCTCGGTTTTGTGATCGGTGACAGGGCCACGAACAGTATTTTTGGGTCTGCGGGTCATACTCTGTGCCCTCCACCATGGCGCATGGCGATCCTCTTTCTGCCCCCAGGCAGAGTCGGGGGAAGGTGGGTTAGGCAGGAGCCATCTGGGGTCAGCCCCCAGGCCCTGCTCCGGCTGACTTCGGGCTTGCCCACACTCCTCACAGCTCACCAACCCCGGGGACATCTCCTTCGCCTTTGGGTTTTCTGGGTTGTCTTTTCTCTTTAGATTTGATCAGGCTTCCCTTGAATTTTTGGCCTGGATTTATTTCCTAATCTCTTGCTTAAAGCCTTTCTAATTGTAAAAACTCATCAGTTTTCCCAGTCTCCTAGGTTGGAGGTCTTCCTTTTAAGTATTCCTTTCATGCCAGAGAGCATTTCTGCAGTGTAACCTGGTTTTTCCCGTGCACTTAGTTGGGGTTCATCCCACAGTCATCGCCTGCTGGACGCCACCAGTCAGGTGGTCCAGGCAAGCAGTCCCGGACATCCCAGCACAGAAGGACAAATTAAGCCGCTCCAAGCACTTAGATCATTAAGTCAGTTAAGACACACAGGGAGGAGCAAAGGGAAAGAAATAGGGTTCACTAATGGTCTCAGGGTTGGGTGCAAGCAGGTGGGTGGGGATTCACTCCCTGAATCCTCGATACGCTGTGTTAATGTCACCTGTGTGTCTGTCTGTCTGTCTTTGCTGCGTGAACCATGCCAGCCTTGTTGTCACAAGGGCCAGATGGACGTTTGAACAAGGAGACCCAATCCGGAGAGGTGCCCGCAGCCAGGCACCCCTGTCCCCATCACTGTTGCCAGCCAGCTCACTATTGTGAGCAGCTCCACAGCTCGGGGTTCTATTTGCATTTCTTAGACTGAGGACACAGAGGGCCAGACAGGGTGGTCGAATGAAAACCTCGTGAATATTTAGAGTCACGAACTGCAGGTACCTCTTAGTCTTTCCGTTCCCTCTCTGTCCGTGTTTAACACACACAGGCTCTGCTTGCGAACTTATTTTTATTGAACACATCCTAGGAATGCTGCCGATGGCTTTCATTCTACTTGCGGATACCTATCCGACTTAACACCTTTCCCCTTGTCTTGTTTTCTCGTCTTCTATAGCGCTGTTGGCTAGTAACAAATAAGACCAAAAATAAAAAATGCCCTATGCTACCCCCCCACCCAATCTGTCGAGAAAAGGGTGTGGGTGTGGGAGAGTCAACATCCATGTTGGTGTTTTCAAGGGTTTTCCTCTCTCCCTCTGATCCCTGGCGTTAGGGCCGTTAGCCCTGGCTGTTAGCAAACGGGGTTTTCCTTCTGCAGCCAAATGGACCTCCCGGTACCAGGCTCCAGAACAAGACCCGCTTCCTCAGTCACCGACAGAACTGAACAGCTACCGGAGCTGTCCTAACTGTTGGCCTCCCCATCTTTGGGGGACCTGGTCCCCTACGGCCCAAGGCATGGAGGAGTGGAGAAGGCCCATTTCTGCAGATAGGTACCCCCCCAAGAGAGACGGAAAAGGAAGGGGCCAAGCCACTGACCCTTACGTCCCTTGCCCCAAATGACCACCCAGACTCTTCTTACTGTAAAGTGAAAATTCAGAAAACCACAAAAGACGAATATATGACATAAGGGCATTGTTGTTAGATATATACTGGAAAGCACTAACCAAGTCAAGAAACCGAGAGTGGCCATCCAACCTGGAAGCTTCTTCTGTATGTCCCCTGCCACCTTCAGTAGCCATCGCAGTAACAGAACCACCGTCCTGACTTTGATGATAATCAGTCATATGAGCCCTTTTTGCCTCCGTGGGGCAAGGAGAGAGTAGAAGGGGCCCAGAGTGTCACTCCAGTGAGATCCTTCCACGTGGAAACCAGAAGAGTGACGTAAGGAAGTGTTTGCTCCCAGCCTCTGGCCCCTAGTCACCAGGGAGTCTTCTCAAAGTATATTATTCCTGAGTGGTGTATTGTTGATTACTATGTCTGTTTAAGTATTGAATTTATTGCCTTAAAATAGCACTAAAGTCCCAATTTCTGACACTTAAAATAGCCCCAGCTTTCTTTGTAAGAGTAAGATTTTGTAAACAGTCTTATCTCTATAAATGTATATTTCCCATACACTGAGTTCTCCCCCCTTCTGGCCCTGGGTCTCCTCAAGGTGCTTCATACCTACTCAGTCCTTATATGGGCTACTATTTGGCGAATGCTTTGGGATGGGAAGATGACATTTATTTGCTTTCACCCTCAAAGTCACCATCTTCTTAAAAATGTTTTCCTTGGCAGTGTATCTACACAAGAAACAAAATTAATACGATCGAGAAAGAAATTTAAGCTCAAAGAAAAAGCAAATAGATTTAAAATCAGCTGCCTATCATATGTGTTTATATGCATTTAGATACATACCTAAATTACTTAATCTTTATAGTTTAGAAGTGGAAAGCAGCTCAGAGGCTGTGTCATCTAAACTCTTCATTTTTATGGGGGAAGGAAAGTGAAATCCAGAGAACCTGATTCTTGTCAATCAGAATAAATGTTACAAATAGTACCGAGTCCTGACTCTTTCCACTGTATCAAAATAGTTACGCTGACAGTAGAGTTAGCTTCAGCACCACAAAGAAGACGTTAATATGCCGAAGTCTCGATGCGATGCCAGCGAGATAGAGACTCATTTTCAAAGCAGATCATTTCTTGAATCTTTTCTTGTGAGAATATTGTATTGTAAACAATTGTATTGATTTTACCGTGAAATCAACCTGTCACCCAGCTTCAATACTTGTTAACTGTATCAGTCAGGAAAGGCTATGTTATACCTCAGTAACAAACAACCTCAGTGGCCTTACAGCAGTTTTTTTTTTTTAATATTTTTTTATTTACATTTATTTGTTTTTGGGGGGTGGGGAGGGGCAGAGAGCGAGGGAGCCGCAGAATCCGAAGCAGGCTCCAGGCTCTGAGCTGTCAGCACAGAGAACTCGTGAACCCAGAGAACATGAACTGAGCCGAAGTCGGAGGCTTACCCGACTGAGCCACCCAGGTGCCCCATAGCAGTTTTTAAAGCAACAAAATGTATTGCTCTGTGTCCAGCATAGGTCGGCGGGAAGGCAAGGGTCTTTGCTTGCGGACCCGGGTTGACAGAGGCTCCAACATCAAGGCAAGAGACTTCTGAGTGCTCCATGGTGCAGGCCGAGAGCAGGCTGAGAGCCAGTGTAGACAAGCAGACGCTGCCCTTGAAGTTCCTCATTACTTCTGCTCATGCTCCATTGGCAGATCTGATGACCTGTCCGTTAGGGTAGTAACTTCAAGAACATGGCGGAGTGTAACCCCCCACCCCGCCCAGGCCATCAGAAAGGAGGGGGGACCAGATGTTGGTGAACGTTAGTAATGTCTAACTCCGTTCTGTTTGTTTCATTAATTTGTGTGTGTGTGAAACATTTTAAACCCCTAAATATTGTGTCGTGTATCTCTTTAAAAGAAAGACATCCCTCTCCCACATTTTTTCTGCCGTATTTGCAATGTGAGTTATAGACATTATGACAGTTCACCTCTAAATGCTTCACCAGTATGCCTTTCTTTTTTAAAAAAAATAAACTTCTAGGGGGGTGCCTGGGTGGCTCAGTCTGTTAAGCGTCTGACTTCAACTCAGGTCATGATCTCATGGTTCATGAGTTCAAGCCCCATGTCAGGCTCTGTGCTGACAGCTCAGAGCCTGGAGCCTTCTTTGGATTCTGTGTATGTGTGTGTGTGTCTCTCTCTACCCCTCCCCAGCTCACTCTGTCTCTCTCTCTCTCAAAAATAAAAATAAATATTAAAATAAAAAAGAAACTTTTAGGGCCATTTGGGTGGCTCAGTTGGTTAAGTGTCTGACTTTGCCTCGGGCCTCATGGTTCGTGAGTTCGAGCCCCATGTTGGGCTCTGCTCTGACAGTGCAAAGCCTGCTTGGGATTCTCTCTCTCCCTCTCTCTCTGTCCTCCGCCACTCACGTGTTCTCTCTCTCAAAGATAAATAAACATTTCCAAAAATGGAACTTTTACTCTATAGTCACATGATCACCATCATACCTGACCAAATGAATAATGCCCCAGTATCTCCAATGTCAAGTCCTAGTTCAGCTTTCCAGCTGTGTCACGGTTGTCTCAGGACTTGCTTTTTTGTGTCCACACCAGGCCCCAGTTAAGGACCGTGCACCGCATTACTATGTCTAGTGTAATCTCTCTTAATAAAACGTAGTCCCCTGCTGTGCGTGCCCGAGCCTTGTTACACGACCCTGACTTTCTGAAGGCACAGTTATACTATGTACTGAACGCAGTCCTAAGTGTCAGCGTCCCACCTCCTGATTTTGCCTGTCTCCTTTATCCTGGATTTGTCCGTAACCCGGAAGGCAGACAGAAAGGCTTCATTCAACTCAGGCTAACCCTGTGGGACGAGGACACTTCCTAGGTGCTGGTGTAAAGTCCACAAGGCTCCAGGAAGGAGGAGCCGTGGTCTGATCGCCCACTGTCGGTGCCGCTAACGCTGATCACGCGTGGTTCTTCCACGCGGGCTGCCTGTGCCCCTGCCAGCAACGAGGGGTCTGGGCAGTGATATTTTGGCACATGTCAGTTCCCCGCCGAGCCTCGAAGAAAAACATTTTAAGAAGCAATAGCCGTTTCCACTTGCAACTCTCCCCGGCAGTGACATTGCAAATAAATATAGAGATGCAACGAAAAGCAACAAGTCAGTGTAGAAAATCTGCTATTTGAATGTCTGAAGTTGGCAAGGGGGGCGTCCGAGTCCTAGTTAAAATGCCTCTCCTTCCAGGATTCTCCCGTGGTTGTGCCCCGGGGTCTGTGACACCAGGGCTTCTGGGTTTTGCTTCTCCCTCTTCAGCTTCTCCTTACAGATGCCTTCCTGCTCCTAAGTATGGATGCTGTCCTAGGTGCTGTCCTCTCTGCTCCTGACATGCTCTCTTGGGCTGATGTCATCCGCATTCACGGCTTCAGCTGCAGTCCGTATGCCATGAGTCATAAATCTCAGTATATTGGTTAGGATGTATATGTACTTAGAGATACATGCATGTGTATCTATGCATGACATGTACACAGTATCTCATATATGGGAAGGAGGGATTGAGAGAGAGAGAGAGAGAGAGATTTATTATAAGGACTGGCTCATGCAATTATAGGCAAGTCCTAAGATCTGCTGTGTGCAAGCTGGAGCCCCAGGGGCCTCTGGGGTACATTCCAGCCCAAGTCCAAAGGCCTGAGAATCCGGGGAGCTGATGGCAGAATTCCCAGCCCAAGGGCAGGAGGGCGTATCCCAGTGCAAGTAGCCGGGCAGAGAGCAAATTCTCCCTTTTTTTGTTCTATTCAGGCTGAGGCCCACCCACACTGAGGAGGGGGCAATCTGCTTTATCCATTCCACGTACCCAAACGTGAATCTCTGCGGAAACACCCTCGCGGACACACTCAGAAATACCGTTTACCCAGCGCCTGGATGCCCTGGGATCCAGCAAGTTGATGCGTAAAGTTAAGCACCACACGCAGTACGCCTGACCGCTCGGCTAATGTGGCGGCGCCTCCGTCCTCAACGTGTTGGAAACAACGTCGGCTTGCAAAGCTTAACTCACTCTCACCTCCGATCTTTCCAAGAATACTCCTTAACATTGTGTACAACTGTGCAGCCGTTTCTCTCACACTCCTCGCTGCCGCTAGGGAAAACACGGACGAGAAGTCCCTCCTGCATGCTAAACTTGGCCTCATCTGATCATCCGAGCAGCTCTTCTCGGTCTCTTGGGTGACCATCTCCTCCTTCCTCACACCTGGCGTGGAGGTGACAGGTGTCTAGAAGTCATGGAAGAAGACAGTGTGAGGGTGGCTGGGGCAGGTTCTCTGCTCACCTGCGGCTTCTACCGTGTTTTGTCGGGTTCCCCACGGACCTCCTAAGCTCCTTCTTGGAGGAAGAAGAAACAGGATTGAGCACAAAACGGCATGTCATTATGTCAGGGGGCAGCCACGCCTGGATGACTCTACATGGCTGTAGGCTACCCCATCTCCTCTAACATATAATGAAATTGAAGGGAAAAAAGGCTAGACACCCCAAAACCTGAAGAGAAAGGTGATCAGGGTGTCAAAGGTCAAAGGTATGCAGTGGCACGCTTAATGCATTTTCCTATCTTCTCAGTATCTTTCTCACTGAAAAATCTGATGACGAGTTGGCCAGTTTTTGTTTTAAATAAAACAGATTTGAGGCAGAGGCCATCTATCTTATCTGTGCCTTGCTCCCCCACAAAGAAAACATCTTAGCAATTTCTATACGAAGGTACAATTTCTTACCCAGTCTAGAGCATCTCTTCTTAAACATTATGACCTCATGCAGAATGTTTTACACGTATCTATTCAGACTTTAATAAAAACAGCCACCACTTATTCAGTATGACCTTTATTTAATTTTTTTTTTTTTCATTTTAAAGAGAGAGAGAGAGCATGAGCAGGGGAGAAGGGCAGAGGGAGAGAGAGAGAATCTTAAGCAGGCTCCACACCCCACTGGGAGCCTGATGCGGGGCTGGATCCCGTGACCCTGGGATCACGGCCTGAACCAAAATCAAGAGTCGGACACTTAACCAACTGAGCCACCCAGGCGCCCTGAGATGATTATTTAAGTTCTCAGGCACCCCCCAAAAACTTGTGAAGTGTGTCTGTGATCATAATAAGAGCGGCCAGGCACTTTGCTAAGTGTTGAACGTAATTCTCTTTGCATCCGATGCATCTTTGTATTTTAATCATCACTTTTGATAAGGAAGTGGGAACCTGGATAGTTACAAGGGAAACTTACCCAGTGTCCTGTAGCTAGTAAGAGCCAGGGCTGGTGCTTGAGCTCCTGACCGAATGATTCTGCTTCCACTTTTTCAACCCGTTTAGTGGCTGTTTTCCAAGAGGATGGCATTCTGTGGGCGCTGTTCCCACTTCGTGTGAAAGCATGTCTGTGTCTCTCTGTGCATTTGGGATCTGTGCTCACTCTCTCCCTGGGTCTTTATCAAAGCTATCGGCCATGTCTTTATTTCTCTGGGTTTTGCGGCTTCATATCCTATTTCTCTGCGTTTCGCTGCAGTAAATGTTCAGAATGTAAAACAAAACCATAGATTTTTGCCACGTGACACATTTCTGGAGCAGGGTGTTATGGTCCCTATTGTTTTAACATCAAATTAAAAAAATTTTTTTAATGTTTATTTATTTTTGAAGGAGAGAGACAGAGACAGAGCATGAGCAGGGGAGGGGTAGAGAGAGGGAGACACAGAATCCGAAGCGGGCTCCAGGCTCTGAGCTGTCAGCACAGAGCCCGCCGCGGGGCTCGAACTCACGGGCCGCAAGATTATGACCTGACCTGAAGTCGGACCCTTAACTGACTGAGCCACCCAGGCGCCCCTTAGCATCAAATTTATATTTAAAACTAAGTTTTAGGGGTGCCTGTGTAGCTCAGCTGGTTAGGCGTCCAACTTCAGCTCAGGTCATGATCTCGCAGTCCGTGAGTTCAAGCCCTGCATCGGGGCTCCGTGCGGACAGCTCGGAGCCTGGAGCCTGCTTCGGATTCTGTGTCTCTCTCTCTCTGCCCCTCCCCATTTGCACCCTCTCTCCTCTCTCTCAAAAATAAATAAACATTAAAAACAATAATAAAACTAAGTTTTATTTTTCATTACTTAGAGATTCTTTTCCTGAAATTCTTCTGAAAAAAATTTAAATCTACAAAAAACTTGAAAAAAGAGTACAGCAAACACGTGTATATACCTTTTACCAATTTGTTAACTGGTAAAAACTATGTTTGTTACCAGTAAGTGGTGAAAGGTAACCTCACCAGTTGTTTTTTGAAGGGACTTGCAGACATCATGATATTTTACTCCCACAGGTTTAAATATGTATGTCTGAAGAATAAGGAAATTGTTCTGTGTAATACCTTTATCACACCTAATACCTGATAAGTATTCTGCAAAGTCACCGATACTTAGAATTTCCCGGTAGGTCTTCCGTAACTTTTTTTCTATGTAAAGTTCACACGTTGCACTTGGTTAGGCTGGTTGTAATCTGAAGCAGTCCCTGCTTCTTCTTTTCCTTCTAAAAACATTCGCTTTTTTGAAGAGCCAGGCGGGCCAGGTGTCCTGCAGAATGTTTGGATCCCAGGTTTCCCCGGCTGTCTCCTCATAGTTGGGCGAGGCTGTGCATGTACGCGTGCACCCTTCCTTCATCGGGACTGCTGTCCTCGGACCGCTTTCACTTCGAGAAGGGCCATTCCGGTCTGCCCCGCTGTGGCTGCTGTGGCTGCTGCGGCTGTTTGATCGCTGCATTCTGCGGCTCTATATTTGCTTGCGTCTCGTAGCTGCTAGATTGGCGTTCCTTTGACGGTTGTTACAAACACCAGGATGGAAAGACAACAAGACAGCAGGGACAGAGACACACGGCAAGTCCGGCTCTGCCGTGAGACTGAGGCTCTGGGTGGTGGTCTCCTACCCAGAGGCCGTGTCTGCCGCCTCTCGCCAGGCCAGGGGGACACCAAGCAAATGATGAGTAGGGACAGTGGAGGTGAGGAAGAGATCTTGAGGGTGCGGGGTCCGCTGCTCCTGCCCACGGCACTGTCCCCTCTATGATGCCTCTTTGAGGTGGCAGTGACCAGAACGGCGGGAAGATGCCCCTGAGATCTGCGGATATGTCCATCCTTAGGAGATACTGACAAATAGTTTTTGAATTCATTATGTCAACTTGCATTCCTACCAACAGCATCTGAACATTCCGCTTGCTCGATATCTTTGTCAACACTTGGTATTTTCAGCCTTTTGATTTTAGGCCTTCTGGTGGGTGGATGGGATCTCACTGTGGTTTTGATTTGCATTTTGTTGATAACCAAGAACGTTGGGCTCTTGTTCATATGCTTATAGCCCTTTGGATATCCTCTGTGGTGAAGTGTGCCCCTTTACGTACGGATTGGTAGGAGTTTTTAGTATAATCTGATCATGACTCTCGGGTTGGTTATAGGCACTGGTAGAGATCTTCCAGCCTGTGGTGTATTTTGATGACTGAAAGTCCCTGATGTCAACGTGGTCCAATTCCTGGGGAGCTCTTCTTCTTCTGGGTGGAGGAGCACCCTTGCTGTTTCCTGGCCCTCCCCCATGGGCTCGGTGGCCCCACGTGACTTTATGTCACGGCAGAGAAGAGCGTTGTGGACACCTTTCCTTCTGTCAGGAGAGAGAGATCTTTGTTGGAAGCCACAGCTGACTTCCCTTATATCTTGCTGAAAAATGGGGGTCACATCTCCTTCCTTCGCTGCAAGGGAGTCTAGGAAAGTGGACATCTGTCTTGTTCCTAAGCTCTCTGTTGTGAGGGAGGCAAGAGGACAGCGCACCGGGGAGAGCCGTCAGGTGGCCAACGAGCGAGGTCTGCTCAAGAAAGACGTCGGGCGCTGGGACTTCCTGCTGTCACCAGCAAGAGGAAGGTGCATTATGCACCCCTCCTCCCACTGAGATGTGTTGATGACATATAACGTTGAGCCGTTAAATCTACCTCCACTGAAAGATATCACGAAGCTGAGATATTATGAAGGATTTCTGATAAAAGTGAGGTACGTGTGAAAATACCTCCATGTGGACTCCCATATTTGCATGTGCCTTAGTGTCAGTTCTCATATACAGGCATTATTATTATTATTATTATTATTATTTTTCCAAGTCTATTTATTTTAAGAGAGAGACAGCAGGAGAGGATCAGAGAGAGAGAGAGAATGGATCCCAAGCAGACTCCACATTGTCTGCACAGAGCCCAGTGTGGGGCTCAATCCCACCGACTACAAGACCATGAGCCAAAATCAAGAGTTGGGCGCTTAACTGAGCCACCGAGGCGCCCCTGCAGGCATTTTTAACATGGAAAAATACATCCTACTGAACTGCTTACCACTGGTCATCTGATGAGGATCAGATGGGAGAAGTGGAAACTTTTTTTATTTATTTATTTTTCAATATATGAAATTTATTGTCAAATTGGTTTCCATACAACACCCAGTGCTCATCCCAAAAGGTGCCCTCCTCA